TGAGGGAAAGGGACACTTAAACTAGCCAGGAGGGATCTAAAATGCTGAGCATATTCATTAGAAAGTGTTACTTTCCCCCATGGAATAGCATTTATCTGGCAATTTGATATTTAAGAAAAATACACATTAAACCACTACATAAATAGTATCCTCTCTCTGTTTATGTTGAATAAATGTTAAATGTGTCATATATATTTTCTCACATCTCTAGCAGTGTCAAGAGGTAGATTTCTTGTGCTATCACTGGTTTTCTGAAATGCGATTAATGAGAAACAGTTGGCCAAAAATCTATAGACAGATAATAGAAGGGCAGGATTGAAAACTCAAAGTTCCTTGAGTTTTTTTGTTCATTGTGCACACCTCCATGGCCTCAGCTGGCCTCAGACTAACCCCGACTTGTGCTCTGAGGTGGCTTTGCTAACAGGTAAGGGAAGGTTAATGTTCTTTGTGCAGTGTCCTCATAATGAGTGTGAAGCTACTTTGCAGATTGCTAATGGCCCAGTAAAATCTTTTGAAGGCAGCTTCATGGGAATGGCATTGGGCATCTTCTGGGTACAAGGCTCTGGGGAAGATGTTAGGAATTCAGAGAAGTGTAATGCTTATTCTTTCGACACAGCCTCTAATCTGAGGGAGAAAGGGCATAATGTTTATACAGAATTAGTAGTCAGATAACAGTGAGATCAATAGTATAATCAAAGGGGGCACCACATGCGGTGAACTCAGAGACGACGAATCTTTCTGAGGTTGTGCTGGGCTGGGAAGGTTCATAGAGGAGCAGTCATGCTTGATTGGAGGTAGAAATAGGGTTTCGGTGGGCACAGTGGGTTTTAGGGAATGGGCCCCGGTGAACTGTGGCTCTGATAGTCTGTACAAGCTTGTCCAGGTCTGTGGCTAGACTTCTGTGTCTGGAGTGATGGAGTCAAGTAGGAGAGGACAGGGAGGTCTGAGGTAGACCACTTCTTAAAGTCTTCCTTTCTTGACTGCCATGTGATCGTCTAATTCTAATGTTCTGATGGCTCGTATTACATCCTGAAAAATGAAGCCATTTGGTGATTTGTGAGCAGATGAGTAACTCTGGACTCTACTTTGAGCTCTTAACATGTTCATTTTATTAATAGGAGAGCACTATGGAGCTAAGGATGTCAAACCTCTTTATAAATAAAATCTAATCCCGTCATAAACTCTGTCAGACTGGCACGCGGTTGGTTGGTCTCACTCTGCTTGCAAAATGACCTGGGAAGGTCAAGCAACTTGTTTCAAGTCATGCAGGAATCCCCTGGCACGTCTGTGTGCACTGGACCCACCTCCCCGGATTTTTGGTGGTGTCCCGCTTAAGTTGCTTCACAGATATTCATAAGAATGGGGGCACTAAGCACTCGGAGCCCCTTCCATCTAATTAGGACTTTCTCCATCTACTCTTATGTCCCACGGGGGCTCTCGGCTGGCACCCCAAAAGACCCTCGTTGATTTTAATTTGGGGATGGGATAATTACACACCCTTCTCTTTCAGGCTGAACCCCGGCTCTCACCGAAAGGGGTGCCATTTTCGTGCTGTGGGTCTGTGCACACACACCATCTGAACAAACTGGCCTTCTCAGCACTTTCTGGGCCAAATGCCAGCCAGTATAGCAGGACTATCAGTGGCTTTCAATCTGCCCGAACTTTGAAGTGAGACACCCGACCCTTGCCAGCCTGATAAAAAATCACTCCGTTGGTTACCCTTTGAAGTTAGCTAATTGCTTAAAAAAAAAAAATAAAGTGAGATGCTTTAAATGAAAACAGATTTTATTCCTCTGTTTGCCTTAGAAACTAAATATATTTGTCTTTCTTGACTTGAATTTTTAAAGGAGAAAGATTGTAATACCATAGTTAAGTGGATAAGGCTAGGGTGATCCACAGCCGGTGAGCTTTTTCGTTTGTACGTTATTTAAACGTGTGAACCAGAGCTGTCAGAAATACAGTTTTATTTGTGTATTTTCCCACCCTTGGCCAAACATAAAGTATTAATTTTTTTCTACATCACTCCTTGTCCTTACATTTCCTTCCACTTAAGACTCTAAATAGTCGAAGGGTATGAACAACTTTTATTAGTGAAATTATCAAAATCACTCTCAATAGCCACCATTCATCGAGTTTTGCTATGTTCCATGTCTTCTGCCAGCGTTTTACTCCACATTATCTCACTTAATTTCCGCCTCAACTCTGTGAGGTCGGGAATTAGTAGTACCGGGGGTTAAGTAACCTGTCAGAGGTTGTCGTGAAGATAGGGCTTTGACCCCACCGCAACCTCCTAATTCTAGAAGCTGTGCCCTTCGTCACTATTGTATCTGGAAACTAAAGGAAAAGTGCTCTAAAGAGTTAACAGGGGCAGTCCATGCACTCTGAGCACACCCACAGAGATCCTGCTAGAAGGAAAACCGTCCTTGTTTTTGCTGTCAGTTCACATTGTCAGCAGGGCTGTTGACACACACTTGCTTCTCTTCTACCTATTTCTTTCTCCTTAATATATTTGGTTTGAGAGTCACATCTAAAAGGGGGGTGGGGAGTGTTGGGAGGATCCATTTGAGTAAATTCAGCACATCCCAGGCACTCACCAGCAGCCTAATTGGCCCAGTAGCCTCCACAGCAGGCCCCCTGCCTCAGCTGCACCATCCATCACACTCCTGGAGCCCTCCTGCTCTGCTGTTGGTCGGTGTTCAGTTCCTGACCCCTGAGCAGGCCTTGGGGAGGCAGTTCCAAGGAGACAGAGTCATTTGCTGTCACATACTAGACTCCGCTGGGTGACCTGGCTGGTCACAGCACAGTGCTGGGGGGGGGGAGGGGGGCTTTGGTCCCTTGTCATTTGGTTACCACTTTCCGTTGAAGAGGACAGAGAATGCCAGGAACTTGGCAGAGGTGGGCCCCAGCCCTAAGAAAGCAAAGTAGGTTCATTTCTGCACTTCCAGGGGGACAAGTCTGTTTCATGGATGGAGCGTGGTGAGTGGTTGAGAGGACAGACTCCAGAGCCAGACTGTCCAGGTTTAAACTGTGTGGTCTTGGGCAAGCTGTTTAACTTCCCAGTGTCTTAGTTTCCTTATCTATGGAAAGGAGATAATAATGGTGCTTGCTTCAGAGAGTTCTTAGGAGGATTAGATGAATTCATTAGTTGTAAAGCACTTTGAGAGCAATGTCTGGGAGATAGGAAGTGTTACATAAGTGTTTTATCAAGTAGCCCATAAAAAGTGGTAGGTGAACATCATTGTACATTGGTAGCCTGCGCTGTGATGGATGAAGTTCACCTAACTGCTTTAGGAGAGATGCTCCTGGCAGGTCGTACACAAACGGTGTCTTATCTCATGTATTAGGGGAGCTTGCCATCTTAAGCATGGGAGAAATCTGTTTGCACAGTGTGTTTTTGTAAAATGAACATGAAAGAAACCGTGTAGGAGGAAGAGGGAGGTCCAGGATGACTTGATGTTTTTGTCACCCAGGGCCATGGCAAAGATGGAGCTGCCATCGTGTTGGATGGGGAAGGCTTCTGGATGAGCAGCTTTGGAGGGAAAGTAGCTATTCAGTTATGGATACGTGACTTTTGAGAGGCCTATTAAACATGGAAGTGAAGGTGCTCAGTGGGCATCAGAGTCAGGGGAGAAGTCAGGGCTGGAAACATCTGTGTGGGGGTCCCTGGCTGGATGTGGGAGCTAAAGCCGCGAAAGGATTAAAGCAGACCTAAGAGGAGATGGGGCCGTGGGGCTGAACCTGGGGGCATTCTAGCTCCAGTGGAAAAGTCAAGCCAGCTCTCCTTTTCCGGTTTGTTCTTTTCTTCGTTCTCTAGTGTGAAATGAACTATGATGCTGGCGTTTTCCTTTGGAGAGTTTATTGCTTGAGCTCTGTCATGCTTGGACTTCAGAGTCAATAGACTAGGGTCAGATACAACTTGACCCCTTCCTCCCCTTGTGCCCTTGGGCAAGCGCCTTATCATCTGAGTCTCAGTTTCCTTATCTGGAGATGGGAAATGGTAGTAAAAATGCCCATTTCAGAGGTTTGGGGGCTCAGTGAGTGCAGCTGTATCAATGTGATGAAGCTGTTAATTGTTTTATCGCAGTAAAATTCTCACTGTTCGTCCGTCGTGTTGGATGTGAGGAGTGGTGACAGCTCACTCATTTTTAAAGCCCTTTGCATTTCCCCTGAACTGAAAACCACATTTCAATTTAACCCATACTGCTATTTTCTTTTTGTTCTTATTAAAAGCAAAAGAGGTCAAGAAGATACTGCAATAAATTCTGCACACATATGTCAGCCTTGTATGCTTTCTCTGTAATTGTAACACCTCATCCAGAAATCAAGTCTGGCCCGTGGATGCGGCAGTTGGTATGTGAATCACAGATACACAAGCATTCAGAGACCCGAAAACTGAAACACAGAAAAAATGGATATCCTGGCAATGACACCCTTTCGGTATCGTATATGCTAACCTCATGTGTGCTCTTTGCCACTGCGAGCCAGGTGAGAAGGCTCTCGCTTTTCTCTGCTAAACTGACCCTTCCTTACTGTTTTAGATTCCAGTTTTATACTTGATTGGAAAATGCACCCAAGGCCTTGATTTCATTCAGCAAATAATATGATTCTGGATCTGCTTTTTAAAAAGTCTCCCTCTCAGAGCGAAATAAGAATCCAGAGGCAGGGAGAATCAAATTCTGAAGTCTTCCTCTGGATTCTCTAATTAGCGTGTCTGCTGTGTTTGCATTTATGGGTTTATATGCTTTGAACTTGTGGCTTTTCTGTTTTGCAAGAGTTACCATCAGTGAGACATCCACCAGAAGACATATAACTATTAGTGGTGGCAGGACCAAATACACATAACGGTGTGGTTGGTTTCTAAATCCCTGCTAGAATTTTTGAGAAAACTTCTCCAGATGGAGGTGGATGGTATGAGGACTGAAGCAGAAAAAGTAATAGGAAAGAGCTTCCAGTGATTAAATTTTTCTTTCTGGTCTTTCAGGTTGAGGAAGTGAAGAGAATAGGCATAAACGGTGGGAAATTTCCATCAACTTGGAAAAAACAATAGAATAAATAATTCTTGGCCACGAGGTGAGAGCTCAGAGAGTCACAAGGTCAAAGATCCTGTCCCATTTGTCTGTGGTGACAAGCACCCCCCCAAAAAAAGGAACGCCTCACCTTAAACAATGAAGTGTCCCTGGGAAGCTGAAAAAGGTACATGCAAAGGGAATTTTTATAAATCACATCATTTCATAAGTTCAGCAGTAGTTATACTTTTTTTATATTTCCCAAGTTTTCTTTAGTGAGAGTATTCCTTTCATAATAAAATATACATTAGAAAAATAGATGCAAAAAAGGGAAATTCACCAGGAGCGTGGAGGTGGGTGAGTTGTCACCATTTAAATGTGCCGAGTGGGTTGCATTTTTATAATGAAGATTATTTTGTCCTAGAAGTTGTAACACGTCCTAACTTATCTGCTCTCTAAATTTACAATCTCCGAAAAAGTACTGGGTGTCGACAGTACCTGTCACCCATCGAAACCCAAGACCCTCACTAGGAAAGCAGAGCCAGCCCTCAGTCAGCAGACAGTTACTCGCCTCTTGCACCGTGCCAAGCCCACCCAGGGTGGCCACCTTCTTGTCCCCTGCCCCCGTCAGCAGTCATGAACTAGGGATGTTTCTCGTTTGTAAGGGGGCCCGCTGCGTGAGGATCATGTCACAGTCAGCCTGGGGCCCTGCCGTAGCTGCTCCCCGAGAGGCCTGACTTTTAGCGTTGGGCTGGGTTGTTTTGGTTTATGTGCCTGTGGTCTGTTTTGTTGGGGTGGGGGGGAGCTGGAGGGGAGGGATTCTTAGAAAAGGGAAGGAGATATCCTCTGCATTACTGAAAACGGAAATAAGGAATTATCAGTTCAGGGTCAGTGGAAGCCACAGCGCCTGGCTTCCTTCTGCTCTGCTCTTCTGGAATGATTTGATTTTGTTTTGAACAGTCTGAAAGTGACAGGAGCTAGATAAATTTTTCTAGGGTGGAGCTTTCCACAGGGAGCCCAAGAACCCCCTAGGGGATTCGTGGAGGGAACTTGGGCAAAGGTGTCTGTGAAGCACCCGAAATTGTAAATATGTTGCATGTATGTGTATTTACTTGGACATGAGGGTCTCTGGCTTAAATGATACTTTAAACACATCCAGAGATCCATACTCTTTTTTTTTTTTTTTTTTAATTAAGAGCAGTTCTAGGGGGAGACATTCAAGTTTTAATTGTACATCTTGGCCTTGACCCAAACTAGAGAACTGTTTCTAACATGTGTATGACGTGTATGTAGTGGGAGTATTGGTGTCAGTGTGAAAACAATTTAGGCACACCCACAGAAGCCCACACTACAGCAAGGTGAGGAAGGTTTCACTTCTTCAAGTGCTGGAGAGCTCAAAGTCCAGAAATGCATGCTCCCTGCATTTCTATCTAATGCCTCCCATTCCCCTTTGCAGCTGTCCTTGAGCTCACGTACAGCTGCCCTAACTCTGTGTCACCTGAAGACTTTGCTTGTTGAAGTGAACACAGTATCTCTTTTACCTGGTCTTCCTCTGGGTTCTAAGTAAACCAGGTTGATTTTGCAACGAAGGTTGGATTTGGTGCAGGCCTTCATGATGGTGACAGGAGGAGGCATGCTCAGTGACCTCTCCAATGTCTGTTTATCTCATGCCCTGTGTGTGTATGTTGACCTTCACACCCTTGCTTCTTGTTTCTCCTCCCGTTGTACATTCTCTCTAGGTGACCTACTCCAAACCCAAGGCTACCAGTGACCTTTCAATCTGTGTTATTAATACTTATTTTTCTTCTTCTGAGTTCTTGATCTGTTTAACAGACCCTAAGACATCTCAGTGTGGTTGTCCCACAGGCCCATCAAACTCACTGGGTTTAAAACTGAACTCCTCATATCCTACCACCCCTCAATCATTCCTCCCCATGAAGTCCTTCTGAAGGATGGTGAATGGCCAGAAAAGTATCCAGTTTTCTAAAGATCTTTTTCTTTTCCATTTCTTTTTTTGAAGATATTATTTATTTGAGAGAGAGAGAGCACAAGCAGGGTGAAGGGCAGAGGGAGAAGCAGACTCCCCACTGAGCAGGGAGCCCAATGCAGGACGCGATCCGGGGACTCTGGGATCATGACTCGAGCCGAAGGCAGACGCTTAACCGACTGAGCCACCCAGGCGCCCCACTAATCTTTTTCATCCACCTACTACATCACTACTCCCTCAACCTAAATGAGCTTCAAATAGACTTTATCCCCATGTCTTGATGATCTTTCATTTTCAATGACTCATAAAAAACATCTTTCCTTTTTATCCCTCATCTTGCCATGCCTCATCACTGTGATTACAAGCTGGTCTTCCCACCCTCCTGTCTGTCTTCCTCATTGCTTCCAGAATGATCTTTCTAAAATATGATTGAATCATATCATTTCCTCGTTTAAAATTGTTTAATTGATCTCCATTACCCTATGACAAAACCCAACCTTGGCATGGCTCACAAGGCCCTGTCTGACCTGATTCCTCATCTTTCCAGCCTTTTGCCTTACTATTCTCCAGGCTTATTTCTTCAGTCAGACTGAGCTGCTTATAGTTTAGAAAATACAACATGCTTTCATTCATCTCGTAGACTTTGTATGAACATATCACATTTTATTATAGCCATTTTACGTGGGGGAACTTATTAAAAACTGTTACACTTCAAGTTTCTAAGTCATGTACAAAACACTCTAGCTCTGCATCACCCCCATCCTGGCTTCCTGCCCCATTCCTAATACCGCTCCTGAATCTCAGGCAATCCCTGAACATAAAATTCATTTCTTAGACTCATCTTCGCCTCATGCCATGTCTTATTCTTATCTTCAGATCCTACCCCATCTCTGATACATACATACTCCAGGGGTTGGGGTCAGTAATGAGTAATGTTCAAGAATGGAGCTGAGGGGGAAGGTCTGGGGATGAATATAAGAGACAAGGATGTCTGTTGCACATACTTTTCAGTACCCAAACTGGTTTTGTATGGTAATGTCACTGTTTAAACATGGCTAAGTCGAATGTCACCCTCTAGTTAACCATGATGCATTGTCTTGTTCTGTTGTTATTGATGCCATACTGCTTAGAATCTCCTTTTTCGCTGCCCCCAGCTAATTTCTGTTCATCTTTCAAGCCCCTCCCCAGGTACCACCTTCCCTCAGTTTTTCTTCACTGACCCCAAGACGGGCTAGGTGCCACTCCTCTGTGTGCTCATGGCACTGTTGGATTCTCCTGGGGTACCCTGATCACACCGTACTGTGATTATCTGTTTAGTTTGCCTATCTCCCTCTCCAAGGCAAGGTCTGAGTCTCACTCCTCTGTCTCTAGAATTTCACTAGAACATGCCTAGCGACAGGAGATGCTGAAGAAATCTTACTGAATGAACGAAAAATGTGTGAACGGCTGATGTCCTGTGGCAGTGAGAATTCTAAGAACCTGCAGAAGCTCCATGAGCACAAATAACCCACAGTCCAACATTTATTAGGTCATCTCTTCCATTTGCTGTGTATGTGGGATTGCATACCAGTACTGGTTCCTGGCGAGATTTAACCTTCCTTTGTTGGTCACCTCTTGGGCACCACCTCAAATCCTCTTAGCCCCACTTGCCTCTGGGTTTCCTTGGTGACGGGCTCTGCTGGACTATACCATCCTACCATCCAAAGCCATGTTGGGCTTACTCCCACCACTTTTGGACTCAGTCGGAGCATCACTCTGTAGGGCGTGGGATCTGGCTTTCCCATCTGCTGCTGATGGAGCCAGACAGTACACCCCAAAAGTATGGGGGAAGTTGGGTCACCATGGAATGAACTTTGGCCCAGTGGGGAACAAGAAACAGGCAGGACGTGGCAGATACTTTCTCTCAGAGCACTGCTCCCTTTGATGGAAACTTTTGGGAGGCTGCAGTCTCTACCAGCCTCTCTGGGGGTGTCTAATATGACCAGTGAGAAGTTTTGTTTCTTGTGAAGGCATGACTGGTCCCGTGCCATTTTATATTTGATTTCACTGTCTCATTTCTTTTTCTAACTCTAGCTTCCCTGGGATTGCCATAGAGCGCTGGCCTAGAAGCTTGGTCTCAGGCTGTGATGTCTAAGGAACCCAGCCTAAGACATTCAAACCTACCACTATTTCCTTAGAGAAATAGGGGCCAGTAAAGGTGGAAGAAGAGGGAGGAGCACTATAGGACAGGTGGTCTCTAGTGTATGGATCTGACAGGCCTTAGCTGGGAGTCTGAGCCTTCAGCCATGTACCCCCTGCCCTCTCTTCCCATGCAGCATTGACTGCCCTCATTTAGGGGAACAGGGCAGATGGGTCCATTAGTAGTAAAAGATCCATCATTTGGAACCTGTGGATCTGGTCCCTGTCTAGGCTGGCTATCTGTTTCATGATTTCCTATTTTTAAAAATCTTTCTAATTAAAAAAAAAAAATCGTATGTCTTTATATGCCATTTATGTAGCAGAATATTATACAGCTGAGAAAATTGATCCTATGAGGATGTGTGATATATTCTGGGTTTAAAGCCGAGCTTCACCACTTACTGCCTGTGTAGCTTTGAGAAAGTTAGCTGATCCAAGCTTCAGTTTCTTCCTCTGGAAGTGGGCGTTAACAATAGCACTCTCACAGAGCGGTTGCAAAGATCAGCTGAGATAATGCACAGAAGGCCGTCAGCACAGGGCCGTACAGAGTAAGCTGGCAAAAGCTATTTGCTGGAGTTATTACTATTCTGTCTTTAAAGTACAACTTGAGAGTGATAGAGAGTTAATCTCTGTATGGGAAACAAATGTAAGGTGATATTTTTTAGCCCTTAAAGGTTTTTTTTTAAAGATTTTTATTTATTTATTTGACAGAGAGACACAGCGAGAGAGGGGAACACAAGCAGGGGGAGCAGGAGAGGGAGAAGCAGGCTTCCCGCTGAGCAGGGTGCCCGATGCGGGGCTCGATCCCAGGACCCTGGGATCATGACCTGAGCCGAAGACAGACGCTTAACGACTGAGCCACCCAGGCGCCCCTAGCCCTTAAAGGTTTGATTGGGTTTCCAAGAGGTGCTTTTTTGGTAAATGTCAGGCCAGTTTTAATCTTGCTAAAACAGGTGGGAAGGCATGCTAAATAAACCCTTCCACAGAAGCAGTGTTTACCTGCTAGGTATTTAATTTTGTTG